CAGTACAGTTGTTCTCACCGGTACAGTTGTTCTCACCGGTACAGTTGTTCTCACCGGTACAGTTGTTCTCACCGGTACCTGTCTCTTATACACATCTAGATGTGTATAAGAGACAGTTTTAGCACATGTCACTGAAAGTTCTATCAAACGCTTATGGCTACATCGATCTGTCTGATTTTTGGTGGAGAGATGCAGAAAAACATAGGGAACAATATCCTGACCTTCCTAAATTTTTAACTCTATTACTTTTCGAGTTACAGCCATTCAAAGTTGAATATCTTCTTTTGGGGGACACCCGGTATAATTTAGTTTCAAAGACAACATCGGACTAATGACGACCCCATTGTCAAATCAATTGTTGAGTTAATCAATTTTTGAAGTTCAGTTTAACTCGCCAAGACATATTCAGGAGTATGCTGGCAATGGCTTGGCGTATGTTGTTCTTAATGAGGTAGGGTCTTTAAACAATCGTTGTAAACAATTGATTTAAGATAACTTGCCCAAATTGTATTCACATACGTAACAATCGATTTCCAATAAGGATCCCGAACTGGACGAATAAGGAACAGCGTGCGGAATGCTCGTTTTGTGGCGATAATGGAACGGCCATTAGGAAAGTACGCCTCGACAGCAAACGCACGCTGCTCACTTGTCCAATGCATAGTGGCAATTCACTAGGCAAAACGCAAAACCTCATGGCTTAGCGTTTCATATGGAAATGCGCCATCTTTTTCCTACAACATCTGGCTGTTTAGCAAAAATACAAAATAAGAAGTTTCCGTGAATCTTCCAGTACGGGTTATTTTTATCGCAAAATGTGTATTTTGAGGCTCTATTTTTATTGAATTTTATAACCTCAACATTTACAGAAACAGGTGGGAACAAATTAGAAAAAAATATGCCGTTGCTTTAAGAATACGGTAAAAAATGTAAACCTCAACGTTTAAACATTAAAATAAGAACGATCATGACGCACTAGAATGAAAGTCTTAAATAAAATACAACTACTAACCTGGCAGAAAGTAATATATGAGAGCGAGAAAACTGTCCCAAAAATTTGGAAATTACCAATAATACTTTACCATATTCTCGGAGATACTTTACCATATTCTCGGAGATACTTTACCATATTCTCGGAGATACTTTACCATATTCCCAGAGATACTTTACCATATTCCCGGAGATACTTGACAACAAGAAAAAGGTCCTCTAGGGAGCGCAGGCTCAGCTGTTCACTATAAGTGTCCCTGCACAGGACACTTGCTTGGGTCCAGGACGCGGGTGTGTCGAGTGTCCTGAGACACTTGCCCCCCACCAGGGAGTGGGCGGGGGGGCAGGACCCCCCGAGGGGCAAGCTTGGGGCCCCTCCAGAGCCCGAGTTTCCTGCCGAGTTTTAATGACTTATTTATGCGGTGGTGCACTTAGAAAAATGATTGCGTCATGTTGTCCAAATAGTGTCGAACATTTCTACCCACAACACGAGCACTGAGCAGACGTTGCACTGATGCAATTTTTTGAAAAGGGTAAAACTGGGTCAGGATGACCCTCAAAAGAGCAATAAGTCTATTGTAATTATGACAGAGTCTCACTCATTTTTCTGAGTGTGGCGATGGTTCAGGATCTTGCACACGTTTTTTTTGGCCGCTGTTGAAAATAATTTTTACCGTCTATTTTTTTTCTCTGAAATTATATTTAAATGTTTCCTATTAAATATTCGTAAATTCCATACCTGAAATTCGCCTGCAGAGAGCGAAACTTTCGTCGTCGCCTGCACGACAGTCGTGCACGCCGTCACACAGCAGACGACGAGCCAGGCACTCGCCTGACGAGCAGGCGAATTGGTCTCGCTCGCAGTCGCCTGTCGGACGAAGTTTTATCATGAAATCAATTAACAAATTCACGATGGGAATAACCGAAAACAAAAAGAAAATTTAAGAAAATAAAACTCACTTTAACGCAGTAAATAGAAAGCGTCCTGATCTGCACGAAGTATACATAATGAGATTCTGGAATGAACGAAACGTGAATGAATGAATAAATGAATAAAATAGAACTTGATATATATACATAAATATCAGCCAGACGAGTCAAGCCCGTGATGAGTGAGCATTGAAATAATGTTGACTTAACGCTGTTTCAATACAATCAACATATAATCAACGTTATTCCAACAAAATCAACACGTAATAAACGTTGTTTCAACAAAATGAACTAGCAATCAACGCTGTTTCAACAAAATCAACTCGCAATAAACGCTATTTCAACAAAATCAACATATAATCAACTATATTCCAACAAAGTCGACACGTAATAAACGCTGTTTCAACGAAATCAAATCGCAATCAACGCTGTTTCAACAAAATCAACTCATAATCAACGTTATTTCAACAAAATCAACTCATAATCAATGCTGATTCAACGAAATCAACTCATAATCAACGTTATTTCAACAAATTGATTCAACAAAATTAACTCATAATCAACGCTATTTCAACAAAATCAACTCATAATCAATGCTGATTCAACAAAATCAACTCATAATCAACGCTATTTCAACACAATCAACTCATAATCAACACTATTTCAGCGAAATCAACTCATAATCAACACTATTTCAGCGAAATCAACTCGCAATCAACGCTGTTTCAACAAAATCAACTCATAATCAACACTATTTCAACAAAATCAACTCATAATCAACACTATTTCAGCGTAATCGACTCGCAATCAATGCTGTTTCAACAAAATCAACAAAATCAACGTAGTTTGCCTGCAGGTTGCGCTCGCCTGTTCGATCGCAGTTGCTCTCGTCGCTGGCGTCGAGGCAGTCGACGATCCTGTCACACCGCAGCCAGGCGGGCAGGCAGTCGTCTGCGCCTGTCACGCTCGTCACACAGCGGAAACCTTCACACGTCACCGCAGATGACGATGATGGAGAAATGATCGTCGGACCTGACGATGATATCGTGGACGGAGATATCATCGTCGGACCTGACGATGATATCGTAGACGGAGATATCATCGTCGGACCTGACGATGATATCGTAGACTGAGATATCATCGTCGGACCTGACGATGATATCGTAGACGGAGATATCATCGTCGGACCTGACGATGATATCGTAGACGGAGATATCATCGTCGGACCTGACGATGATATCGTATACGGAGATATCATCGTCGTACTTGACGATGATGTCGTAGACGGAGATATGATCGTCGGACCTGACGATGATGTCGTAGACGGAGATATGATCGTCGGACTTGACGATGATATCGTGGACGGAGATATGATCGTCGGACTTGACGATGATGTAAACGTAGGAGTTACTGCAGTCGTTCCTTGAGTGAACATCGTCCCCGACGAAGCAGATGTTGAGAAGGACGAGGTTGACGATGGAAGGAAAGTGGACGAAGCTACGATACATGAAAACAGTTTAATTCATTTCACAATTTTATTTCAAACCTTGCGTTATATAGATCTGTAGGGGGGCGCATTTGTTTCAAATAGGAAAATGAACGCGAGCCACGGAAAAATAGGGAGGATAAGCGTAGCATATTTGTTGACAATTGAAAAAATAATTAATTTTCTTTGAAAAGCATAAACATAATAAATACGGTGCTTTATGAAGAGTTTTATCTCGTTTAAAGTTTGTCATGAGCTTAGCTCTTACAAAAATATTGAGAAAATATTATTATCTTTGATATTTAATGAAATTTTTCTTCCTCAACATCACAAACTATAAGTAAAATGTATTTATTCTTCAGTTTAAAAAATATTCTTCAGTTTAAAAAGTTAGATAGAAATCATTAGAATTAAGCTGTTCTCACCGTTACAGTTGTTCTCACCGGTACAGTTGTTCTCACCGGTACAGTTGTTCTCACCGGTACAGTTGTTCTCACCGGTACAGTAGTTCTCACCAGTACAGTTGTTCTCACCAGTACAGTTGTTCTCACCGGTACAATTGCTCTCACCGGTACAGCTGTTCTCATCGGTACAGTTGTTCTCACCAGTACAGTACAGTTGTTCTCACCAGTACAGTACAGTTGTTCTCACCGGTACAGTTGTTCTCACCAGTACAGTTGTTCTCACCGGTACAGTTGTTCTCACCGGTACAGTTGTTCTCATCACTGTTATCGTGACAGTCGTTGTCACCGTCGCAGACGTAGCGCGCAGGCACACAGCGGTTGTTGCTGCACGTGAACTGCTCTTTGCCGCAGACTGCGACAGTTTACAGTCAACACTTGTGCTACACATTATTTATTATAATATGATAGAATATAATATAAATATAATATAGAAGACAATAATATATTATAATATAATATAGTAAACTTAACATAAAATCTTTGTACACGTAATTCGGTGCTACGGAACAAAATTTTACGTTACAAAATGTTACACCTTTGGATCAATAAATGATGTTATACATTTTTCATGCAAATTAGCACAGTTTCATCAAAAAAATTCAGTTAGCTCTTGTTTCTAAAAAACGAATAATCATTAGAAATGACGAAATAATATTTAAATTTTTTCTCAGCTCCGATTAAAATATCAAATTAGATTATTTATACCCTCAGTTTTTTTATTAAGCATCACAGAGAAACTCAAACTTTGGCAATCAATTTTAAGTTAACATAGATCGAAATTATTTGAACGCATCTGCACATTTTATGTTAGTAGTGGCCAAGGGGGAGGGACAGGAGGGTGATGACCCACTAGTGGCGGGGTGATGACCCACTAGTGGCGGGGTGATGACCCACTAGAGGCGGGGTGATGACCCACTAGTGGGGGGGTGATCACCCACGAGGGGCGGGGTGATGACCCACTAGTGACGGGGGGTGATGACCCACTAGTGGTGGGGGTGATGACCCACTTTGGTCAGTGCAGTTGCGTTCGTCTGACTCGTCCAGGCAGTCGTCTTCGTCGTCACAGACGAACCACTGCGGCACGCACCGCCTGTTGCTGCAGGCGAACTCGAACGCCCCGCACGCCTCGCCTGCGCCTGCGTGAGAGCAGCAGGCGAGATACACACACAAACATACAAACACACAAAAACGAACACACAAACATACAAATAATTAACACACACACACACACACGTTAAACGTATTGAAAAATAATTAGATGAAGCCTTCACCCTCACAAAGACCTCACAAAGCCCTCACCCTCACAAAGGCCTTACAAAGCCCTCACCCTCACAGAGCCCTCCCCCCACAAAACCCTCAAAAAGCACTCACCCTCACAAAGCCCTCATGAAGCCCTCCCCCTCACAAAACCCTCACAAAACCCTCACCCTCACAAAGCCCTCCCCCTCACAAAGCCCTCCCCCTCACAAAACCCTCACCCTCAAAAAGCCCTCACCCTCACAAAGCCCTCACCCTCACAAAGCCCTCCCCCTCACAAAACCCTCACCCTCACAGAGCCCTCACCCTCACAAAGCCCTCACAAAGCCCTCACCCTCACAAAGCCATCACAAAGCCCTCACCCTCACAAAGCCATCACAAAGCCCTCACCCTCACAAAGCCCTCACAAAGCCCTCACCCTCACAAAGCCCTCACCCTCACAAAGCCCTCACCCTCACAAAACCCTCACAAAGCCCTCACCCTCACAGAGCTCGTCGCTGCCGTCACCGCAGTCGTCGTCGCCGTCGCAGCGCAGGCGGCCGGCGATGCAGCGGCCGTTGCCGCACAGGAAGCCTGAGACGCACTCCGCTGTGGAGGCAATAATTCACTAGTTACATTTAAAATAATTAATACTTTTTGGTGTAAGATAGAAAATCATTTGACTTTGATGAGATATTTTTTTTACTTGAAATTTTTGAAATGAACAACGTTGTTACGTTTACATCGTCTTTGATTACACGACCTAGGTTCCCGATCCAACCTAAAAAATATGTATGAAAGATCAAAATGAAAATTCGTTCACGATTTCAGAAGAGTAAAACCTGCGACTCATTGATTCAAACTGCCACGGAGAGTTTGTTGTTTTCATTTTCAATTTTTATCAAGTATTTGAAGATAGCCTACAATTTGGGCTTCATATATTATCTAAATTAGTTGTATTTTCCAAAGTTTAGAAAGCGATAAGAAACTGCGCCTATATCTGGACGATAATGTACAAATTAAACATATATTTGGTATTATTACAAACACCTTGTAATATATTGAATCCAGTTGTGTTTCATACATAATGACACAAACATAATATTTGGTATACACTCGTATGTTCACACGCTGATATTATACTCTATATGTTACGATATGTCAAGACTATAATATTTATAATTTACGATATACATATTGAAAATATTATGATATATTTTAACGCACCCAGAAGGTAGTAAGGCGTTTTACAGCCGGCGAACGCAGGTAAAATATATTTACCATTTACCATCAGCACTATACTTCGCCTCCAACTTGCTGATGCTGAGGGCTAATGATCACAATCATGCTCAGCATGTATTGTTTTTGTCTGCATGATGCTGATGCTGAGGGCTAGTGATCACAATCATGCTCAGCATGTATCGTTCATGTCTGTTATACACATCT